TTCTGAAGCGATAGGAGTTGTTGCTTTTGGTGGTAGGAGGAGTGCCTCCAGCAACACTCTCAGTTCTAGATCTTCTCTGCAAGCCTGTCTGGCTGGGGGGTAGGTTGCCCAAGTGCCTTCTGGTGGTGATGAAGGATATGGGATTGGTACCGCTGCCACCACCAGAAGACTGGCTCTTGCTGCGAGGCCTGAACTCTGCAAAGGCCTTTAGAGCTTTCATGGTATCCAGAAAAGTCTCATGCATATTTTGGGCAACAACCGAATCATCTACTTGCATCCAGAGCTCTCCAGGTCCAATGGAGGCAGATCTGCCCACTTCAATGAAGAAGAAGTTCTCTGAGTGTCCACAGCGGCGAATGTTCATAAGCTGCAAGTGAACAGAGGGCACCTCCGAGTTCAGCTTGACAAGGTGGATGGCTTTGCTGGAGAGGCACAACCTGTACACTCCAGTGAGGTTTTTTGTTTGTCCCAAGCCTTTGGGCTTCACGTTGACCTGCCACACCTCCTTGAAGACGGTGCCAGGCCTCAGGGAGGCCCCGTAGTGCTCATCATCCTCATCCACCTGCTGATCAGCATGGTCCTCCTGCTCCAGGAAGCCCCTCTTGCTCTGATTCATGAGCTCGCTGATGGCCTGGTACCAGGCCTCCTGCTCGGCCTCGTTCTCGGCCAGCATGGCGAAGTACTCGTCCTTGGTGTACAGGGCGATGATGTGCTTGTGCTTAGCGTCGGCCCGGCGGCTCACGGTGAAGCACTGGTACAGGGGGATGACCCGCTTGGGCGGGGGGCAGCACAACGCGGCCGCCCCGCCAACCCCCGCCGCCCGCAGGCTGCTCTTGAACTTCTTCTCGCTGTCATAGTACTCCAGCCGGGCGGGGGCCAGGTGGCTCTCGGCCCGAAGGACGAAGTAACGCTTGTGCCCGTGCTTCTGCTTCCGCAGGTACCCGCATTTCCTCACGTCCTCGCCGGCGCCGCGGCCCGCCGGGGGGGGCTGCCCGCCGCGGCCAGCCGAGGGAACGGCCCGGCCCGGCGCGGGGGCGGCCTCGGGCGCCGGGCACAGCGAGGCGCTGGGCGAGCGCCGCAGCAGCAGCAGCAGGTGGTGCGGCTGAGGGGACGGGCAGCGCCCGCCCTCGCCCGCCGCCGGCTCCCCCTCGCCCACCGCCGCGCCGAGCACGCCGGGCTCCTGCTGGGGCGCGGCTCCGCCTCCCGTGTGCCGGGCGCCCGGCTCCTCCTCGCTGCTGCCGCCGCCGCCGCCGCCGCCCGAGCCATTCATCCCGCTCGCCATCTTAGGGGCCACGCAGGGTCCGGTGCCGCCGGGGACGGGGCACAGGGCGGGCAGCGGGAATCCGCGCTCACCGGAGAAGCGCCCCGTGCATGGGAAGCGGGCGGTGCCTCCTGTGCCCCCAGCCCGGTCCGCGCTTCCCCCGGTCGCTCCGGCCACTCGCACTCACGGGCGGCGGCGGCGGCACCGCGGCGAAAACATCACGTGACTCCGCCGAGGGCGGGGCCGCGGCGGGCGGGGCGCCCGGCGCGCGGAGAGAGGGGGCAGCGGCGCGCCGACCGGGCCGCGCGCCAGAGTGGCAGTGGCAGAGCCAATAGGAAGCGGCAGTCCTTCGCCAGTCAGCCAATCAGCGGGCGCTCCAGGGAGGAGGGGCGGGCTTCGCTGCGCCCTGTCCGGGGAGGCGGGGTTAAAGAGGACGGACAACGCGGCGGACCAATGGGAGGCGGCGGTCGCCCCGGGCTGGCCGCGATCTGCAGGGGTGTTTCCTGTGCTGGGGAAAGAGGCGGGGCCGACCGCGATTGGCAGGAGTGTTGAGCGGTCGGTCCGACAGCCAATCCGCGCCTCACACACACAGACGGGGGAGGCAAGGCGGGGGAGAGGTGTATTCGGCGGCGAGAGTAAGGGGGAAGGCGGGGCATTGAGGAGATGGGCAAGCTGTTTGGCTAATCAGCGCAGAGCCGCGGCTGACGAGCGGTACCGGCTGACGTTGCGTTCGCCCGGTTCCTTCGGGGCGGACCCCGCCCCTAGCGCGCGGAGCCGGCGGCGTCTGCCATTGGCCGGCGGCGTCTGCCATTGGCCGGCGGCGTCTGCCATTGGCCGGCGGGGAGGGCGCGCGGGCGGGGAGGGGTGGGGGGGCGGAGCGCGCGCCGCAGAGGAAGTAAACAACCCGCCAGCGCGCGAGCGGGCGCTGCCGGGGCGGGCGGCGTGAGGGGCTGCGCGTGATTCCCCCACAGGGCGCCATGTCCGGCCCCGGGGCTCTGCCTCACTCGCGCTCACGGACCCCACACATCTTCTCAGCCTCCAGACCCCCCTTAAAGCCCTCTCAGATTCTCTCGTAGCCCTCACAGGCTCCCTCATAGCCCTCACAGACTCTCAAAGCCCTCACAGATTTCTTGCATAGCTTCTCATAGCCCTCACAGCCTCTCAAAGCCCTCACAGACTCTCTCATAGCCCTCACAGCCTGTCAAAGCCCCCACAGACTCTCTCATAGCCCCTCAAAGCCCTCACAGATTCTCTCACAGCCCCCTCAGCCCCCACTCCTGCCCTGGCAGAGGCAGCGCGGAGTTGGTGACATGCAGTGGGTTGTTTATTTTCCATCCACTGCTGCGTCACCATTGTCTCGGGTTCGGGATTGCCCTCTGCCCGTCGAAGTGGGGTGACAATCCGCATTACTCTTGTGACCTTTGCCTGTGAGATCCGGGCAGGCCACTAACATAATTCCTAGGGTTTAGCTCAAAATACGAAGAGTGAAGAGCAAATTCATTCTGTTTCACAGGTAACGGGCATTTCTGTGACATAAAAATCTCTGCTCCATCTAGATTAATTGTATTGATAAAATACAGCGCTGGATGAAGTTACATGTACGGCTGCCCCACTGCAATGGTGGAGGGCAGGGAGCCACTTCCAGTCCTCTATCCACTTCCCCAACATTTTCTTCCTCTGGTAATTAATTCCTCCTTTTGGCAGCTCGCCTATGTCCTCACAGAGGACACTGTCCAAGCTGTGGGCAGAGCACACGGCAGGTCTGTGACAGCCCAGAACCCAAGCCTTGTTCCTGTGCTGTGGTGCAGGGGTGCTTAAACTGCAGGGCAGGGCAGGGTGTTGGCCACAGATACTGTTCCTGGTGCCTTCTCACTCTTAATAAAAGCATCTCTGCCAAAGGTACGTTTTATTTGAGTTAGGAGTTTGTGTGTACCAGTCATGTCAAGTGTAAAAATAATCCTTTTCCTGTAATGCAACAGCAAAGATCACTTCCCTAGCCAGTAATTTTGACCACACGTCTCTTTACTTTCTGTCTTGATTTGCTTTCAAGGGCATTCTTGGACTCACTCACCTATGATTCATTATGAGATGACAACTCTCAACAATTCCTGACATCAGCTTCCATCACCCGCTTGTTTTGTTTTGGGATAAATAGTTCTATGTTTTCTTTCATTCTGCCTCTCAGGTGTGGGAAAAGATATTTTTTGAAGTCCGGTAACTCAATTTGAAAGCTGACATGCCAAGCCTTGTACTTTCCACGTTGATTGTTCATGTGTCTTTTTTTTTTATATATATAATTCTCTATTCACTGCCTGCTCACAGTGTTTAAGCTGCACTCCTTTTGGTTTATGTTTTTACATCATCTAACATGGCCTATTCCTGTACATTGCTAGAGGTCCTAAGTGTTATGGCAATACTGTAAATAGGGTGTTACTACAGAAATTTATTTATTCCCAAAACAAGAATTATTAACACTAGAAAACTGATATTAAATATAGTTTTTGGAGCCATTCAGACATGTTGGCACAAAAATACACAACTCAACTCCCCATTAGTTAATGGTGTCATGACTTAACTATACAATTATATTGCATTGTATTGTTAATAGCCCTTGGTAGAATGAAACTGGTTTTGGAAGATGAATTCCTTTTATTTTTCATTCTTCTCTGCCTGGTCCAAACAGTTGGGTGAGGCTGAGATTTCCATAATTGTTAGGGCTTCATTCTGTACTTTTACATGAAAATTTAAAGTAGTTTTAAATGTACAGAGCAAGGTGAACTTTGTTCATTGCATGTGTATTTGGGCTTGTTGATAAAGGATATACATGGGAAGAAGAAGGGAAAACTTTTGAAAGAACGGGCTTAGGTTCTCTTTTTTGTTTATGTTTTTTTTTAGTCATCAACCTCTGGGCTTGCTTGACAGTAACTATGAATAATCTGTCCCAGTAAGAAAAAAAATATATCAGTGTTTTCTGGTCTCTTTTAAAGTCCTTTGCTCTTACATTGCATTTACAGTGCTTTTGCTAGGGAGTTGAGAAAGCGACCTATGCATAATGAAGTCATGCAGAATTTTGGGGTGGTGGACACATGTGATCAGACTGGCAGGGACCTGCAGAAACAGAATTAATAGAAATGGATTTTTCCACTGGGTTCTCTCCAGCTTAAAAGTAGTGCTTAGCATTCCTGAAAACTTAATTTATTCATGTTTTCCCATGTGATTACTAAAAAATACTTACCAAAAGTACAGGCTAATCTATAATTTGCATACTCTTTCTCAACTTTCATTAGTAGAAAGAACAACTATTTGTTTCTTCTGTCTTTGAATAGATATTGTTTAGAGTCTTTTGTGCAGTTGTAGAATCAAAATTACGGGTTTCCTGCAAGAATGATTTTTTATTTTTGTAGCTTATATAATACATTTAAGTATACCTGTTAGTGTATTATACCCTTCCATTACTGAGATAATTGTCTGGCTATGGGATTGGATCCAATTTTACTATCTTTTTTGTCACAAATGATTATAACTTTCACAGACTTCTGTAGGTTTCTTTCTTACTGTTTCTCTGGCTACTTGTCTGGCATAGCCATAGATCACTTTGTAAAGTCAATGCCCCACTTTTTATATAGAATCACCTTTATATTCATCACTTTTGCTTACAGAAACCAACATAGCCTGTGTATGGAATATTTCCTTAGCTGTGGGTGCACTGTCTTTCAGAAATGAAAAAGAAATCCAGATTCTCCTCCACACGTCTCTTGATCTTCACCAGACTTGAAGAACCTGTAGTTCTTAGAGCTGGAGGTATGTTTGCTTTATGTTTCATGTATTTGCTCCTTCTACCCTACCAAGTGTCTGCATGAAGCAGGCACTGTCTAAGGCCAAAAATTTGAAACCATTTCTTTCATTACAGTTTCCACAAGTGACTATAATGAGTGTAATATAAAGCAATTAAGCTATTGGTAGTCATATTGTTGACCCAAATGCAGGGCCAAATATGTCATCTGTGGCTGAAGTATTGAGGAACAAGGAATGGGTTCCTGCAGGGATGTCTGAAATTCTACAAGGAGTGATATTATTCATTTAGTTAAGATATAAGAAGTAAATGGTTTTGGATGTGATGTTGCATGATTTATTGTTCATTTATTCTAGTTACAATAGCCTGTCTTACACCCATCCTCAGTTACATCTACAGGAGTAATTATCCAATAAAAAACAGAAAGGAAATAAGTTTTGTTGAGTAATAAAACACAATCCTGGTTCGGTTGTGCTTGTGACATGTTCATAAAAGAAAAGGAACTGGAGAAATTACCTCTCTAGAAATTTAGAATAGAAATATCCCAGAAGTATTTAGCAACCAAAGGATGTTAAGTAAAGGGTAAGATTCACAGTTTTTAATTGTATGTGTTACATTTTCACCAATCATATATTTCTATACATTTGTGCAAAATAAATTAATGTAATTGTTCATAATGTGTATTTAGGGCCCAAACTCTTCCCTCATTTTAACTTTACATCTCCAAAGTAGCCTGCTCTCATTTCCTTCTTAGCAGTTTTGTTCTCACAGCAGGTCATACGGTGATTTTCACAAGAGGCAAAGTTAGCTCACAAAATCAAATAGAACAATGATTTTAAATTACCAGTTAGCATGGGTCATTCTGCAGATGGGGAAGTGTACCTGTCAGTGGAATAAGAAAATGAAACTATTGTGCCATTCTTAACCAAGATCCAGAGGACAGTAATACCCTCTGTTTAAGGTACAGATAGAGAGTTCTAAATTGTCACTTCAGTTTTTGGCAGGCTTGCCCTACTTCCTTGGGCAAATCTCTCCTACCTTGTTTCAATCCCTTGGTCATTTAATGGAAATAAAAATTTCCCTTCCTCAAAAGAGTTTTAGAGATTTTATCTCTAAAAAATCTGTTCATGACAAAGAACCTCACACATTTTGGTATCAAGGTTATATCAAATTATTATAAAGCCAGCCTGATGCTGGCTTTCCTTCATTCCTATGGTTGTATAGAATCCACTGTGCTCTAAGAGTCCTCTACATGTGCATTGCCCGGCATAAGCTACATGTGGTCTTATTTCTCTCGTCCAGGTCTTCCTTGCTGTGTTGTAATAAGATGCTGAAATGTTCATAGCAATTGTGATGATGCTCACTTATGAAAATGTACATATTTGAATTTAAGATTTTCAGGCACAAAAATTAAAGGCAGACATATTAAAGAGTTCCCAGTTTAAGTTAGAGGGAGCTGTGGGTGCTCAGCCCCTCTCTGATAATGAGGATTTGGTTGTTTATTTGTTCCATTATACTCCTTTCACCATCTATCTAATCCTATCACATTATTGTCTACAGAAATACTGAGACACTTGGTTTCTTTACTATTTTGTATAATTGGGGATGGTGTCACCACGCAGTGAAAAGAGCCACAGAATGCTGCTTTTCAAAGGCATACGCTCACATTTTCACAACATTTTCTCACTGGATCATGAATGAATAGTAAGATTATTCTGCCTGTTTGTTTTCCTATTGATGGATAGTTGCTGTTTGGGATATATAGATTTAGGATTATGTGTGATATTATGCAACTCTGCTAGTGAAAGAAACATAAATATGCCCTTTTGCTGTACACAGTTTGGCCATATGTCCAGATCATTAAGACAGGGAAACTATTAAAGCAACCAGACTCTTATTCACTAGTTTCACAGATTGTCTTTGAAGAATAGCAGAGTGGAACAGAAACTAAAGATACCCATTTATATAACTGGAAATTAAAATGGTATAATTAATATCAGTTTTCAACTATTTATGGTAATGAGCAGACAGTTCTGGTTTTGTAAATCAAAAGCTTTTTTTTCCAGACTGAGTAGAGATGAACATTTCCCACTACCTTCTTTGCGGTACATCGTATCTAGCAAAAGGTGTTTTATATCAATTAGCCAGTATGTCTTTAATTCTTTGATTTTGCTACTAGGTGCTGATTGCCCCCTTTGGTTTGGTGGTTCTTGGTGATGGAGTCAGAATTCCAGGCAATGCCTCTGCAAGTGCCACAGGCAAAGATGAGGATCACTGGCTCTGACTGGAACTGAGCCAGTTCTGGAAATGTGACTGCCAGGGAGGGCACTGTGCTGGCCACTGCTACTAAAGACTGGGCTGATAGACTGCGTCAACAGGGTTTATAGTACTTGTAGCAACCTGTAGCAACACCAGGCAGTGGAATTAATTTCATCTTCCCCCACCAAAAAAAGAAAGGCCTTTTTAATGCCCAAATAGGGACATGAGGAATTTGAGATAAGAACAGGTAACGGACAAAACATGGATGAACAGTGCTAGAGGGGGAAGAGCAGAATGATTGTGGAGTATTTTGGTAGTTGTAATTATGATGAAGGAATGAAGGGAGTATTGTCTGTAACTATTGTTGGTGTTGATGCTATTTTGATTTTGATGCAGGGAATTCTTTTGGTTGATGTAAGTGAAGTTTGTGATGAATGTGTATTTTCATGATAATTCTTAAACATATGGTACCCAGAGGTGAAGAATGGAATGCTGGCTGAGGCAGCGCGGTGTTGGTGACATGCAGTGCGTTGTTTATTTTGGTAGGTTTGGGTAGCTGGGCGTAGGGGCTACACGGGTGGCTTCTGTGAGCAGCTGCCAGGAGTTTCCCCCATGTCCAGTACAGCCAATGCCAGCCTTCGCGGTGCTAGCGCCTCAGGGATGATGTATTATGGAGGGGAAAGCGTGATTATGGGTTTTCTCTGGTGGTCGTCCTTGTTTCCATCTCAGGGAGGGCAGAGCTTGGTTCCAGCAGTCTCTTTCTGGAGCTCCCTGATGCTCCTTAACCTTTCTCCCTGCGCTCGCAGCAGTGCCACCGGTGTGAGCGAATCAATCTTCTCGGCCTCCGCTCGCTCCGCTGCTCCTGCGCTGCCACCCGCTCCCCGGGACGGCCTCTGGCACCTGGGCGGCGGCGTGTTCCCATGGCAGCTCTGTCCGGGGCCACGGCCGTTCTGGCGAGTGCCGAGGACGTGGCTTTGTACCCGTCCCGTTGGGAGGGCGCCGGGCGGCGGCCGGGAGCGCCTCCGGAGCCGCGGGGGGACGGACCGGACAGACGGACGGCGCGCCTCTCCTGGCGCTCCCGGGGCGAGCTTCAGGGAGTGCCCCTGGCTGTCGGAATGCCGTGAGCTCCAGAGAACCCGTAATTTCCACTTCCCAAAGGTGCGGTGAAAATACCTTTATCCTTCTGTAAGGAATTATTTTAAATGTGTAGCATGACACCAAGACCTCTCGGACAAAACATACTAAATGCACTGCTTTACTGTTTGACGTCATTAGCAGAGAGTGGTTGCCTTTTTGTTAGTATATATGAGTCTGGTTTAATTATTGCAAAGGGAATTAGTGCTCAGTGCTTTGGTGCCCCTCACGAAGTCAGTACTTGCCTGACACACTTGAGAACACAGGGTGAGGCGGATCTGTTCCAGGATGGGACAAAACGTGGCCATGCCCGTTCAGAGCAGCTCAGTGAGAAGTTGTGACTCAGAGGCATCCTCTGAATCATATTTCCCCTGAGCTGTAACATTGCACAAGTGGGGAGTGTGCCATCAGACCCTGCCAGATGAAGCATGTTCCTTCCTTCATGTCCAGCCAGTTCCCTGTGCTGACACAGAAGGGAGCAGAATGATGATTATGTTTGCTTCTGACCCAAATTCCCCCCACTTCTCCACTTGCTCATGGAAGGAAATAATTTCTCTTTGAGGTTGGCTCATTAATTTAGTGCCCTTAGCACAGCTTTGAGGAAGGGTGGCACAGAATGCAGGAATGCCTTACTACTTCCATGCAGAACTCTGTGACCATCAGATGCCCAGAGTATAGTCTATCTGCACATGTGTAGATAGGTGAGACATTTTACTCACCTGTGAGCTCTGAAACTAGTGCTTGTTCTTTGGGCACTCACTTTTCATCCTGTAGAAAGCAAATCTGTCACAGTGAGAGAAGATATCAGCAATGCATACATGACTTGCAAAGGACCATTCAAGTTTGATTCCCAGCAGACTTGGCAATAATCACCAATATGATTAGACAAATCTGAGTTGTTACACATTTTTTTAAGCAAACGAGTTGCACTTACATGGAAACCAACAAAAATACACTTTCTGTCAACTAAATTTAAGAACTAAGGCTAGCATAATCAAATAATCAGCCAATCAGCTAAGCTCTGCAATGACTTCTAACAGATTCAGGCAGCAGATTTTTCAGATGAGCAGTGATTTATCTGTAAATAAAATTGAGATTAAAGTACTCATTTGTTAATATTAGATCAGCTAGCAATGGAAAGCTCTGTTGTTCTTGATGTCTAAAGAAGTTAATGATTCTGGTAGGAATCAAGCACTGAGAATTCCTGCTTTAGGAGCAACAGTAATCCTTTGTGAAGCCTGGCAGTGATTAGCACTTTTTTTTATTTCTTGGTTTATGAGGAAAGAGAATCTATAATAAATAGGATAGTGTGTGTTGAAATAGGTTATTTCAGTGTTAAACATCTATACTTTTCTAGTGAAATTTTCAGAGGACTTAACCTGAACCATTTAATTAAGGGACAAATTATGCTCCTGTCAATGCATAAGGAAATACCAATTGCTCAGTTTAGCCTGTAGGGCAGTTTGGGTGAGTAGTTCTCACCAAAAGAGATACAGAGATAATTATTTTTAATCAAAACCTTTCCAAAACTATCTTAAGACTCCTGAAGATAAAATGTGCAGGGTATTCATTTGTATCACTTCATTTCATAGCAATGCATTTCTCATCTTTAGGC